CAGAAACGTACTACATAGGGTAAATTATACCGTACACCCGGTTGTACGGTGCTCATCGTACAACCGGGTATTTTTGCAATTATTTAGAATTTCAGTGGTAGAGGTTATGTAGTTCCCGTCGTCTTCCCTATTGCGCCGCACCCTGAATTGAAGTCGCTGAGGTCACTGCGCGCTGAATTGTAGTCGATGAGGTCTGATGAACAGTTCCGATCTCCCGCTGAATTTCTTCCTGGCTTGCTGGGAGTTCCACCGAAAGAGATGAAGTAGCCGCCTGAATTGGAGTTGGTTCTGCTAGGGATGAGTGGATGACTGTGACATGCAGAGGGAGTGTCGGCAATTGCAACTTTTTTAGACTTTCACTTCTTTTTTCGTTTTAATTCCTTTCAATTGTGTTAGAAAGTTTAATTTGAGAATTTCAAAATGAATTAATTGAGATGAAAATTTGATTAAAAAAATTATACCTCTTTCGATTTGATTAATAATACTCAATTCATGGTTCTCGTACTCAATTTAGGAGATTTGATGCTTAATGAAAATATTTTGATACTCAACTAACAAAACCTATGATTTTCATATCAGTTCTCATTTGGTAAGTTAAGTATGTTCATTTAGATTTGTGTAATGCTCATTTCAAAATGTGATATCCATGTGTATTGGTGTAATGCTCATTTAAAATTTTTCATTACTCATTTTCGTAAACTATATAGGCTCATTTAATATATATTCGAGCACAAAAAGGATTTTGAATGAGCCTTTTGATTTTTTTGATTCTCATTCTTAAGTTGAGTATGCTCATTTGATATTGGTGTAATATTATACTCAATAAAGGGGGTTTGATACTCAAAGAAAATGTCTTGATACTCAACTAAAAAAATTATTATTTTCATATTATTAATGCTCTTTTTGTAAGTTACACATGCTCAGACGGTACTGTAACACCGTCCCCAAATGTATTTACCTTTAAGTGAATAATGTATTGAACCTTATGGAATGGTTAATGAATTTACGAACTTGTGAATTTTTATTAATTCTTTCGCGTGAATAGTAAATTTGCACGTGAGGCCCACACCGGGAGCGGGGGCCGCCCGAAATTTCTGAAACTGTATATTTTAATTATCTTGGTCGAGATAATATTTATATAGGGCAGGATACTTTATTTGGGCCATGGAAAGACCCAGAGTTGACCGCTTGGTCAATTGAGGCTCAATTACCGGTATTGGTAATTTAACAGATAACAGCCCGAAATGAATTTCGGAGACTTATAAATTAAAAGATGGGAAATGTATATTCATATTCATTATAAGAGTCATAATAATTGAGAACACGTAATATATTTTATTTGACCCGATAAAATAAAATATATTTAAAATAGTCCAAAAAATACAACTTTCGGGACCGATTGTACACTTCTGGACAAAAAGGGTTGACCTCCCACATGGGTGGGGGCCAACCCACGAATTTAGACACACAAATTGAGCTGTGGGGCGTCTGAGTTGAGAGGAGGAAGATGGGTGGAGGTTGGGTTGACTTGAGAGGCATCTAAAGGACAAAGGTGGGTCTCTCAACCCACAACTAATTGCCTATTGTGACAAAGAGCCAACCCCAACCCCCTCTCTCCATTATTTTCGGCCAACCCACCCCAACCATGAGAAAGAAAAACTCCAGCCACCTCTCACCATTGTTGAAGGAAGCTCCAACAAGAAGGAAGCTCCAGAAAAAAGTTTAAGTTCCAAAAGTGTACAAAACTTGAGGAAAGGCTAGGTAATGACTTCATTTACCTTTCTCTTCTCTTTTTCTTGAATATATTATTATTTGAGAAATAATGAAGAACCCTAGGATTGTTCTACATGTTGATAAATGTGGAACAAGGGGTTGGAAGGTGGTTCTATGTTCAAAAACAGACTTAGAAGCCAAAACGGTCGGTTTGCCGGAAAATAACCTTTTAGAGGTTATTTGTATTGATTGAGGTTTTATGATGTTAAAACCTTGTTGGGGACTTGATTTAAAGTATTTTTGAGCTTCGCCGGAGTTTCGCCGGAATTGGTCAAAGTCCGCTGGAGTTGGTCAAAGTTCGCCGGAGTTCACCCAAGTTCAATCGGGGAGCGTAGAACGCGCTTAAGCTCACTTAAGGTGAGGATGACCGACTATATTGGTTATAATTTTTGGGTTAATTTCATAAGATCACCTAAATAAATTAAATGTGTTTGGCATGGATTAATAACGATTAAAAATGCCTAAATGAAATTATTATTGTTTATAAGTAAAAATGCAAAATGCACAAATTTATGAATAAATTGTGTATGATTATGTATTATGAATATGATGGCATGATAGTTGTATTAACCATGAATCTTTTGTGATAAATATACTTTAACTTCATGAGAAGAAGTCATGGAAGGATAAAAGTGATATTTTGATATTAAGGCTAAATTACTCATGAATGAAGAATCATATTGAAATGAGTAAATAACTACTATTGAAATATTAGTTGAAATTGTTAGTTGAATAATGGATGAATGGATCCTAAGAATTTGAATTGTAAAGAATCGGTGATTATTGAGCTGGGCTCTAGACCGATGTAGATAACGGTGATTATTGAGCTGGACTCTAGACCGTGGTAGATATCGGTGATTATTGAGCTGGACTCTAGACCGATGTAGATAACGGTGATTATTGAGCTGGGCTCTAGATCGTAGTAGATAACGGTGATTATGAGCTGGGCTCTAGACCGTAGTAGATAACGGTGATTATGAGCTGGGCTCTAGACCGTAGTAAATAACGATGGTTTGACATTATTAAATGAACGAGGTTAACTATAATATATTGACACTCTAATTTGAGGGTCTTGGAATTTGAAACTTTGATTATACCTAGTATAGTTGTCATTGTACTTGTCAAATGCTTCCAAGTACTGACCTCCCCTTCACGGGAGAGGCCACCTCACAGTTTCAGGTAGAACTTGAAGGTTGATACTATCGCCCATTTGCTTCGGGAAGATCGAGGAGAGAAGATGTGGTTCGTGCATCCTTCATTTCTGTTTTAAAAACAATTATATTAATGCTCATGGATAATGTTTCTCTGAATAATTGTTTGGGGGCTTGTACACCCATATTTGCCAAATGTGTCTTGAACACTTGTTATGTTACTTCCGCTGCTTTAAATGAATATTTTACATTATGTTTGTTTATGGATGTACTATGTGTGAATGATATTCCAGACGCCTTGTATAGTATGGATGTGTTGGACTGCGATTGACTATTCGTATTGTACGGCGGATTGTTGACGTGTCCGGGTAGGTCCGAGGCGTGACAGGTACTCATGTTATGCTCATTTTAAAATGTTCTCTCAATGCATATTTAAAAAAGTGTCATATTACATTAGATTCACATATTGAAGTTCGTATGAGTTTATTATAGATACACTTTAATGATTTTTTATAAAAGAAAAAAATAAGAAAAAGAAAGTAAATTAAAACATATGAAGTTGATATCACAATATTCATTGTTCGACTCTTAATACTCAGTAGAATACGTCTGATGCTCATTAAAAGTGTATTAATGCTCATCTAATTAAAATCACGATGTTCACTGAAATTACAAAAATGCCACCGTTTTTTATTTGTGATATCAGCTTTTGTGTAATGACACAGTGCTCATTGTTAGACTATTAGTACTCATTAAAATTGGACCAATACTCATTAACATTACATTAATGCTCATCTAGCAGAAACCGTGATCTACACTAAATTTACAAAATTGTCACCGGCTGTACGGTTTGCATCGTACAGCCGGGTGTACGATATATGCACTCTACTACATAGCATTCAAACTTGAGAGTAACATCCCAGATGAATCAATGGGATCAAATACCGAAAAAAATTAAAGGCCTAGGGCTCTTGATACCATGTGAGAATTATGAGGAAGCGTACCGAATGGTAGCCCCAAAAGTATTATTTATAATAAGAGAGTCAAAGATACATTGAGATTCCTACTATAATTAGACAACCTAATTATTATTAATAAATACATTATTACAAACTGGTTTGATTCATTGCCAAATCTGAATTAGAGATTTGGACCTCCAAAATCTAGTTAGGATACAGGCCACCGTGATCTTATTTGAGGTTTTCATTCCTTGTCCAACGCAGGTCTATACCATGAAAAAAAGGATTCAATAGCTTCCATTAAAACATTCTTCTACTTTTATATGCTCCCCGGCCTCTTTTATCGACTTGTGTTTTTTTTTTTTTTGTGTGAAAGATATCGACTTGTGCTGCTATGCGTAGCTTTTTGTTGTTGTTTTAATTTTCAATATCTTAATTATTGATTTTACTCTTCTATTTTGTTTTTGTTTTTAAGAATTCCTGGATCGCGTATAAGAGAATTGAATATACTTAGGTTTGAAACTTTGAATGGTGTTTTTGTTTATTATTTCGGATTTAGGATGGATTTTAGCCCTTAAATTAATTACGCATGTTTGACATAAGATCGAGTGTCATGCACGTACAACATACGTATAGTAGTATATTTGAATTAAACTGCAGCAATGATGTATTGTAGAATCACGTACGTACTCGGAACATTATAGGGGATGAGTACCAAATTGGGCAAGACAAATGAAAGCAAGAAATAAGTACACTACGTACGTATATTCGAAATGATAAATTCAAGAACGTACTAGCTAGAACAGAAAGCGACGAATTAATTAAGTTTGAACTATGTATGTATGTATTTTAGATATGTCGAATTGAATAATACTGCGGGCATGCATTTATTTGATTAAGAAGGGCAGGCCAGGGCGGATGGATGAGCTAGAGTGAAATGAAGTTGCATTGGGCATAAGAAGGATCGGTGAGAGAGATGAGGGCGGAATTCTTAAAGTCGCAGTTCCACGGGTTGGCGCCGGCGGTGTGGTAGTAGAGGTTCATGGCAAAAGAGGCGTGGTTGATGAGGGTGTTGGGGTAGTAGCACGCGGCGGATTCCGACTGCATCAGCGCCGCCGAACAGTTGACCAAGTTGCATGCGTACCCCAGGTTGTCTATCAGCTCCTGGTACGATGCCGACGGCTTTGCTATGCACCATGTTCTTTGCTTCGCCGGCGGCGCTGCCGCAGCAGCCTGATCTTCCGCGCACTTCACCTCCGCAGATGCTGCTACTCTTTGGGCATTTCCAAGTCTTGATACTGCTGCATGCATATATATATTCCATCACACCACATGCTAATTGCTTATATTAATTAATTATACAAAAAATATGTATATATGCGCTGGTTGTATTCAAATTAAACCATCCAGAAACACTTAATTTTAATCATGACAAAAACAAACAATAAGCTGCGCGCGGCGGCTGCGAACGACATATACCTGCAGATTCTGAGGACGGTACGAGGAGGAACAACACGCACACGAGTATTGCCATTGGAATTGAAATGAATGAGCCAGACGACATGATGGTATATATGCCCGCCCGCCGGATATCTATTCTTCTTCAATTGTTTATGCATGGATAGAGAATTCAAGCACTTGTATATTTATATGAACTATACAGTACGTTGCCCGCAGTTATTAACTTTTTAATTACGTCGTTACGGAATTCCAAGAGTTCGATCATCAACTTTGTACGTAATTACTACGTACAGTAGTAATTAATTAATTAGTACTGAATGCAATATCATGGCCGGCCGGGCCGGCTATGTATATACTTCTATCATGGGACTGATGAATGATGATCCTCACCATTCCTCCGTACGTTAAATTGGCATAATTAGCGTCCCCTAACTTTGTTCCATTTTATCTTTTTCGTTCGTTCTATTAAGTTTGTCTCATACCATATTTGATAATATTTGGATGGTTACAATTCATTCTTACTTTATTCACATTTTATCAATTCAATACCAATAACACAAGTTTACTTTTTCTTAAAAACCACACCACACCCGTTTGTCCCAAACTTAGGGACTACGTAATTAAGTACACTACTCTCACCTTTAATTGTAACCTACTCTCTTACTCCCATCCGTTACGAGCGTTAAAAAATTCCATGATTGATCGACCAACAAATGCATGCATCAAAATCAGATCGATTATATGTATAGAAATTATTACTCCAAATACGAGTAAAACTGACAAAAATTTAAAATAGGACTTGTTATGTTAATATTCCAAAATCGGACCATATTACCCCTATTTGAAACATAGGGGTAGTCAAAATTCATAATTAAATGTTATAAAATCTCAAAAAATCTCAAAAAATCGTAGAAAAAAAATATAAATACTTATAAAATAAAAAATATTTTTTTATTTAAATTAATAAAAATAGTAAAACTCCATAAAAACAATTAAAAAATATGGATGATTTCCCACCGCCTGCACTGCCTCTCTGCACCACCACTTCCGATCGGTGTAAAAATGACATTTTTTCTTAAAGCTGCCATTTTTTTTTCCTGAAAATGCCAAAAAGTGGCATATTACTCTTTGAGAATGCCAACATTTTCATTGTTTCTGCCGTAAATATAACATTCGTAATGGATGTGGCAATTTTTTCCCCTGGTGCTGGGGCGGTAGAGGCGATGGCGTTTGCTTCATTTTCTTTTTCTTTTTTTAAATTTTTTAAATAAATTTTTATTTAAATATTTTTTATTAATTTTTAGTATTTTTTACGAATTATTATTATTTTTTATTATTTAATTATGAATTAAAATATTTCAATAGCAACAAGAGTATATTTTTCCAACACACACATAATTAGTCCTATCAAAACATAATTTACTTTTTGGTCCTATTTGTGCAAACTCACAAGTTTTTAGTCCTATTTTGATAATTTAATTCTTATATATTTGGAACCTCTACAACAACAATTCGTCAATTCCAACACTAATTTCTTTCTTGCTAAACTGCACGCTCTCATTTGGTCGTGAAACCGTCTCACTCCCTCACCTAGAAATGTAGCGTTAGGGAGCTTGAAAGTTTTATACTACGATACTCAAACCTCAATACCGCTCTGTTTGCAAATACAACTAAAAAAGCACTTCACAACTTTTGGCTTAGAAAAGCTAAAATAGATGTTTTCATATGAGAACTTCTACTTAAATGAATTACTTAAAAGCTAAAAGCTAGAATCTGCTTTTTACTTTTTCTATTACACAAAAAACACTTATTTTACCAAACACCACCAACTTTTACTTTTAAAAATCACTTTTTTCTCAAACACTACCAACTTTTACTATTAATCACTTTTTTACCAAATCATTTAAAAAAGTTAAAAGTACTTCCCAGTTGGGTTTGCAAACAGAGCCTACATAGCAGTGGCGGATCTTGCGATCAAAAGTCGGTGTTCAAAATGAAAAATAGGATTAAATGCAAGAGATATTATCTACAAAAACACTATATAAATTGTTACATCAATTCTATATGTATACTTTAACATTTTATTTTTATTTTTTTTGGGTGTTCACATGAACACCTTTGCACAAAAGGGATCCGCCCCTGATACATAGACATGTTTTTTAATACCACCTCCGTCCCGCTAACATTGAGACATGAGAAAGTGTCACGATTATTAAGATAGCGTGATTGTATATTACACATGAAAACATTTTATTTAAAATATATTTTATTAATAAATTAAAATAAAGACAAAATTATAGGAAAAATAGCTAAAATAATCATCTACAGTAATTTCAGCCAATATAGTAAAAAAAGTAACTTCAACCTTACTTTTTCTTATTATTACAAATTCAGTGCGTGAAATCAAAAGTTATGTATATGATTAAAAAGTTGACAGATAAGCCTGCTATGTCTAATGAGCCAAAAAACAAAGTCACCAAACAAGTTCTGAGATAGATTAATGATGAGTACGTGACTACTTAATATAGAAATTTCCTCATATATAGGAATAGAACAATATGAAAATTCTTAAATAGGATCGTATCTGTTTCCTCCCAAACAAGAGCATCTTACTGATCATATTTTAAAATATATGGAATTTTTCATTCCATTATTGCTCATGCTTTGTTGAAGTCCACGACTCACACATAGGGGTGGGGAAAAATACCGAAATTTCAGTATACCGGACTTACCATATCGAAAAATACCGAATTTACCGAAGTGTTTGGTATACCGACACTTTTGGTACGGTATGATACCGTACCGAATTACTTCAGTATGGTATCAGTATATATTTTGGAAATAAACGGTATACCGTTATACCTTTATACCGTAATTCTAAGCCAATAATTTCTTTAAATTTATAAAAATAACTAGAAACACAACATTAATTCAAGGATAATGACTTTATATCCATGTTTCTTGAATTATTTATACTTTCTTGAATTATATATACCGTTATACCCCTACTCACACACCTGATCGATGGCTTCCCCCATGCGGAAAAGATCAATGGCTTCTCACTGTACACCACCTCCTCCACCTCCTCCGATCCTCTTCCTCTTCTGCTACCACAACAGACTGACCCGCTTCTAACAGACCAACATGAATTATGCAAGGAAATTATAGGGAAATTAATTAGACTAGTTAATTAATTAATCAATTAATTAAATTAGGGGTAAAAATGAAATATTTAGTTCTATTTAATTACGAAAAATCAAATATATAGTCCTACTTTGAAGAATGTTATTCTCTCAGTCTCATTTTGTAAGATATAATTTCCTTATTGAGTTATCCAAAAAATGAAGACTTTATTAAGGGAGCGCTTGCAAGAGATTGTGCTTTTCAAAAGTGATATTTTTAAGAGATTATTGAAAAAGTGTTTGTAGTAAAAGTTGATAATATTTGAAAACATAAGTGATTTTAATTGAAAGGTAAATGTTGAAGTGTTTGATAAAAAGTGATAATTGATGTATTGTATTATTAAAATACAAAACTGCCCATGCACAAATTAAATTAAAAGAGAATCCCAAAATCAAGATGGGAGAGAAAACTCTCCGTACGTCCCTTCTCTCTCGCTGGCAGCTCCGTCGCACTGAACTAAGTCGCCGTTCACAGTCACATTCAAGACAAGCCGATGCCTGTTATTCTGCCGTCCTTCACCGACGACCGCAACCAGAAGTGAAGCCTTACGGACTCCTATATCCAGTGGCGGTTCCAGAAGTTTCCCAAAGCAGGGGCACTCCAACATAGATGAAAATGGGTCGGGTCGGTCCGAATCAGGTGTATCATTAGTCTTTTTTGTTAAGTACGTTCAAATTAATATTTTTAACTGGAAATAGATTATTCAATGCCGACGCCAAGCAGTGAACATATATGGATTATATTATAAATCTAATTGTGAATTCAATAAGACAATTCTAAACAATAATATTTGTCTTTTGGAAAGAAATACATAATTTGACGGATAAGAAATGACTCATCTTTGTGCAGTTTATGATTTTACATTAGAATTTTCGCTACTTTTCATACTATAAAATGATCAATATTTCATATTTGAACTAGGATCATGTTGTTGTTATACATTGTGCCACAAAAATTTGTTGGTACTTGAAATGAAATATATTACCATCATGTTAAAAATGAAGTATAAGTCAAGTTTAGGATTTTATAATTTAATACAATTAACTTTATTTATTAATATGATTCTATATATATCTACCTTTTACGAGTATCATATCATATATTATAGAAAAAATTTAAAGGGTTTGTCAGTATGAAACTAATTTATCGCGAATTGATACATTCTTTCATGTATGGACTTTTATTCAAGATAAAAGTCTTCAATCTTTAGAACCTTTTTCATATCTTTGAACTTTAACTTTGGATCAACATTATTCACAACAAGTACAAAAATCATCAATGCCACTTTTCAAAGAAAGTGCAGTAACCATATAACAACATGCCTAACTATAAGAATTTGCTCCATCACAACTTCAGAGTTGTTTATATTTCTTACTACAATTATTATACTCCCTCCGTCCCAGAAAATTCTTCCAACTTTCCTTTTTGGGACGTCCCAGAAAATTCTTCCAACTTCATCTTTTTGATTATTTGTGTGGCTCACATTCATTTCACCTTTTTCTTACACAACTACAACCACACATTTCTACTTTATTCCCACTTTCTTAAACTCCGATCCAAGTCAAACTAGGAAGAATTTTCTGGGACGGAGGGAGTATGTCTTTGACGGAGTCCTATATTTCTAATAGTTTTTTGAAATAATGACAATATGATTGAAATAAAGATAGTGGACAGAAATATGACTTATGTACTACCTTAACAATTTTAGTGACCATGATTTCTGTTCATTAGTTATATTCCGGTAATATTTATGAAAAATACTCTTTTTTTTTTGCCCGGATAGTAGGGACACAATTTTTATCTTAAGTAATAAAATACTAAACTTCATGGTCGGAAGCCGGTGCCCCCCTAGGCCCCTCCCTAGGTCCTCCACTGCCTATATCTCTTCCTAGATTTGCCGACAAATATATATGAAGAAGGACAAACGCAGAAGTTGGAGAAAGAAGGATAGTTGCAGAAGGAGAAAACATGGATAAAAGAGCTTTGACACAGACTCTGGATGCCGTAGCCCGTAAGTATAGCCAGCGACTTAGAGGGTATTTTGGGTATA